GAGATTCAGGGAGGGATCCGGTAATATCCTGCTGCCTCTCCATCCTCACAGGTCTTCATCCAGGACACTTCCCCGCCTCCCTGAGCTAAGCAGTGCCAGCCTGCGGGGTGTTTGTGAGCAAGGTGCTGCTCCCTCACCCCCCACATGCCATGGTGCCTTTGTGGGGGGGGGGACTCACTCTGTGAGATGGGGAGGGTAGAGAGATTCAGGGAGGGATCCGGTAATATCCTGCTGCCTCTCCATCCTCACAGGTCTTCATCCAGGACACTTCCCCGCCTCCCTGAGCTAAGCAGTGCCAGCCTGCGGGGTGTTTGTGAGCAAGGTGCTGCTCCCTCACCCCCCACATGCCATGGTGCCTTTGTGGGGGGGGGGACTCACTCTGTGAGATGGGGAGGGTAGAGAAGGACTCATGGAACAAGGAACACACCAAGGAGCGTCACTCCCTTACATGCGCATCAGCCGCGCCTCAGTTTCCCCATCCGCAAAGCGCCTGTGACGAGATACACCGACCCCACACGGCGCTTGTGTTGGGGAAGGGCTGTCGTTGCTACTCTAGGCCTAGGTGTTCGAAAGCAAGAGGCCCTGCATCTTTTTCCCAGGGCAGCGCTTGGCCGGACGTCTTGCTAACCCGGCGCAGAACGGGCAATATCTCGACAGCTCCAGCACAGCTACTGACTGTGGTAGCTGGTGCTTCAGAAACTCTACAGATTAGAGAGACAGATCCCTCGATGCCCAGGGAAGGGGCTGCCCCACCCGTCTGAGCCTTCTGACGGAGAAGTGGGCCCATTACCATGGGAAGTTTAACTCCCCAACTTTATCTGCTTTAAAAACATCAAAGTTGTTTCCAACTCAGTAGCAGTTCCGCACCCGGGGGACCAGCCCACTTCTCGAGTCAGATCGGGTGAATCGGGCAACACTGGGAAACCTTTGGCCTGCAGTTGGAGTTAATGAGAGCGGTCCATATTTGCACGGCGTGTTAAGATCCCACAAATGAGACGTGCGGTATGAGGGCTGACAACTGATCCATATTTATATTTCTGATCTGTCCCTCTCCTGATCACAAACATGCTCTCTGACATGTACCAGGATGTGAGCCTGCAATATACACATCTACCGGGTGTTCCGTTTGTCCGGTTCCCAAACCCTGCACCCGTTTGCTTAGGGATGTTGTACTTGCTGCAGAAAATCCAATTAAACGATTATTTCGAACAGGCATCGGGGAAGGGAAAAAAACAAGCCAACATATAAGCCAGATCTCCTCGTTTCCTCCGGGAAACTGGAGCTGAAGGGAAATCAGTTTTTCTCTATTTTTTTTAATTGGGTAATAAACGAAAAAGCTAACAACAATACGGTTCATGGAGAGGTGGGGGGGGGCAGACTGCTGACTGGGCAATCAGTCATCCCTAC